ATTGGTTCTACTAATTTGTTGCAATAGGCTACAATTAATTTATATAATGTAAAGATTGTTTATGTACTGATTATAAATTTAAGTTTAATAAAAATCGCACATATTATGCTCATTGGCAATAAAAAAAAACAAACTCACTTGAAATGAGCTACAGTACATATTCACAGAGGCTTCATAACCTCAGGTTCTATCCTATTATGATTCACTAACATTCCAGTTCTATCTAACTCCATAATTGGCAACACTTCTTTTCTTCCTATGTAGCAATGTTATTGGATATTCAAATTTGATCAATACGGCTTTGTCCTATAGGTTCTGTAAATATGTATGTAGTTTTGTAGAGAACAAGAGATATCATATGTCAATATAGTTTTTTCTTAGTTTTTTGTAAATAAGAGATTTGAATTTTGGTTCAGATTTTTGAGTTTTGTCTATCAGATGAAGTATAGAGTTAAAAGTCACCCATAATAATATGAGAAATGTTTTTTGAGGAATTGTAATTTATCAAAGATTGAAAATATGAAGTAGTGTTTTTTTTTGTGTTTGTACTATATGAAAGGTAGACTTATGTAATATATGTTTTTATTTTTGATTTAAATTGTAGATAGATTAAGATGATATAGCCTTTGAATTCAGTTGTTTTATAGAGATGATTGGAGAGATTTTTGTTAATTATTATTAATACTCCCACTTAACTTTGATTAAACAGTTGCACAGTACCTATTCTGGTTCTTCCGACTTTTTGACCATTCTCAGGTCACTTATATACATTTTTACTTTATACCTATTATACCTAATATACCACTTATACCTGATATACTACTTACACCTAATATACCATTTATACTTGATATATTGTTTATATCTGATATACTTATCCTTATAATTTTCTATTATCTACCTATCATTTTTCCCTATAACATTTTTCTTTCCTTAATCACGAGTACCACAAGCAATCCTTAACTTTATCCTGATTTGAAAATTCTATAGTTGTCTTCTTTCAACAATCAATTTTTCTAAGTTGATAAGAGTACTCAAGTATTTGCAAGGCTTAGCAAATATTTCCGCACTGATTTGCTATATCCTTATTAATCAGTATTCCTGTACTTGCCACACTATATATTCAAGACTTATTTGCCAAATACTACTTTTGTATCATCCACAATAAGAATTATTGTTATTTAAACCAATAGTTTTAGCACTAATTATACATGTTGCTGAAATTCGTAGATCCTTGACACAATTGATACAATTATTTGATGCAATTAATTGAGTCACTATTAAAACATATAAATAATTGAGTCATGACACAATTATTTTTAAGGATTTTGGGAATTGAGTCAACAGCAAAATAATTTATGCCACATGTATAGCACTAATCTTTTCAACTTTTTATCCTTTAATTGTTGAAATCATACCTAGAGAAAATTGTATCACTAAAGCTATTCACCTTACTCGCTCCAGTCACAAAGACCCTTCCTGGAAAACCATAATAATACTTCAAGAAAGGATTAAAATTTTGAAGTGTTTGGCATGTCGTGAAGAAAGGTTCAAAACCTTGGAAGAAAAAGTTACCAAATTAAAAGCAGACTTGAAAACACTTTTCAATACTTGCTCCCTTCACTATCGTAATAGGGAGTTGAAGTTGGAAAATTTAAATTTGAAAAATAGGGTGGCTTGGCTAGAAGAACTTCTCTAATTATTAGGAACTCCAGCTCCAGCTCTTTTTAATAGATCCTTTTCCACCTTTGAACTCAATTAGAGATTTGCTTTCCTTCCTATTGGTTTCAAGTTTTTCCTTTTTTATCATTTATGGATTTATAATAGGAAATGCAGTAGTCGCTAAGTATGCTTTGTAGGCCGGCTATAATGGATAGGGAGTTGTTCAGTAGGCCACTTCTATTATATTGCATTTCTTACTTGTTTCTTTTAGTACTTTTAGGTTCCTTCTTCTATTCAAGGATTTAATAATGCTTGTGTTTGGACAAGTTGAGAACTGAACTATCATGATATCTACGTTCACGTTATATAGTCTGGGTACTGTAATCCATACAGTAGCTAAATAATACTCTCCACTTTCTAATATTTCAAAAAGAATATAAAAATAAGAAATTATTCATGTAATTATAAAGCATAATAATAATAAAGAAATAAAAATAAAAGTAAAATAATAAAACCCATTCAAATAATTATTCAAAAATTATTTATATAAATTATATAATTTGGATACTATAGCCTCAAATACCAATATGCTCCAAAGGTAATATTATCTAAGGTGCTATGGCTGACCAGCCCTTAACCAGCATATGCTATGGATTTCTATCTCTAGGAACCAAGGTCATCTATAACTATATTTGGATCCAATATTATTCATTTACATAAACCACAAGAAATAAAAGATCAAAAAGATAATAGGTATTTTCAACTATTTATATAATTTCAAAAATAAGAACTACTATACTGTTATGGTGAAATACGGTGAGTCTGTCGCTTCTGTTCTGTCTATGCTGTACTACGTTGGAGAATGGTTTCTCCTCAAAAGAGACATATATATTTGGCTCAAGTTTAACAATAATGCAGGTTAATCCATCGATCATACGTCATAACTGCCAATCTCTTGCGTGGTCACTCCTTTGTTTAGTGATACTTTCAAGATATATAGCCTTTTTAGTATACAGTGCCTATCCTCCTTGATTGCTATATTTTTATATCACTATCTTATTTTTATACTTTTTATGCCTGATATAATTTAACTAGCTTTGGACTTATTATCCAACTTTATACTCGTTGTCTATATTGTACTTGATAATTACTCATTATACCTGTTAGATATTTAAAGATACTAAAATATACTAGAAATACTAGATATCTTTTGCATATCTATTATATTACTTTTTATATTCTACTTCATTTTATTTTTATTTTTCCCATTATTTATATAGTTCATTTTTCACTTTAACAATACTAATAAAAAAAATGAAAATAATATATTCTTTTTTGTTTAAAAATTTTTTCTGATTTTTCCAATTTTTTATTTATTTATTATTATTATTATTATTTGCTTCTTTCAAAATAAAGTAAAAATAGAAAAATAAAAATACCAATCAATCGAGTAAAGATAAAGGAAAATAATTGATAATCAATTGATCAAAGTAGAAATTAAAAGTCAAAACTAAACACGATAAGCTAATCTAATGTCATCATTGAATAAATTCTAAACTATACTTAAACTAATACTATTACATTTCCCTTTTTATCCCACTTTCCCATCCATCTGTTCTATTTTTTTTTTTCACAATTTTCCTTTCCCTCTTGCTTGCAAGTACTACGAGCAATCATCGCCCATGACACGTATCACAATTTTTACTTTTTCACTCACATCACCATCCCTTTTTTGTACTTGCTTTAATAATAATGTGATCAGTACGTATCTTCATCAGTTGTAATCTTCGTTATGTTTTCTTTTCATGCTCTCTTTCCCTTTCTCTTTCTGTATACCAACCGGCCTTCCTGCTAATGCTACCAATATGTCACATTATTTCTGCACACTTAGATTTCAAGACAATTCCATTGATTATCAGAACTGTTATGACAATGATCATCATTGTGCAGTGTATTAGTTTTGCAATAATGTCTATGTATACTATCATTAACTCCTTAAGTGTATTCATCCATTATCACCATTTTTTATACCCAGGTACCCATAATTTCCTTGCATTAATCACCACCATTCCTTCCTTTATTTCATTCTCCATTTTACCCTTATTAGGGGGTTATTGGTTATCTTTCCTCCATCCTCCTGACATTCCAATCCACTTTTATTCACATCAGGTCTCCCATCGATAAGTCTATCCATATCCTCATGCCTCACGTCACTACTTACTAATTTCCAGTTTGTTTTTTTACCATGTCTTTCTGGGTCATCACAACTTACAATCGTGACGATACTGGTTGATACCAACACTACTTTGTCTCCATTATCTTGGTGATTATTAAGCATGCCAACGGTTATATCTTTTTTCCCATAGTATCACACCCATCAATGATCATTATCTGCTAATTCATCATTGTTTATAGATTTCTCTTCTGTAATATCATCATTTCTGCTGTTCTCAGGGTTCCATAGTTCCCATGTACTTACAAACATCATCTCTCCTTCAGTTTCATGCTTTGTTTTACCCTCAGGGGTGGGAATCCCGCTTATAAATCGTGATCCATCCTTCATCATAATACTTCAATCCCACCCTATTCACTTTAGGTCTCTTTATGGTAAATCTGTATGTGTTCCAATATCTTGTGCCATTAATTACTAATTCTCCATTTTCCTTTTTGCTACGTCCTCCCGGGTCATCACAACTTGCAATTGTAATGTAACCGGTCGGTACCATTACTACTTCGTTCCTCTCCGATAGATAGATGTCTTATTTTGCAAGTATGCTTTCATCATCATCATAATACCCCATTCCTACTTCATTCACGTCAGAATGTAGTTCAATGCCAGTTTCATCATGACTTTTCTCGTTCAGGGGACTATCCTTCCTGCACATTTCTTCGCATTTCAAGTTGTGTGATGCTAGCTGTTTTTTCATTATCTCGACGTCTTGTTCTTCTGCGACTATCTCTATTAACTCATGTTGTTCTTCTAACTAACCTTCACACTTCTCCTCAGTTTTGTTAACCTTTTCTGGATTCTCTTCGGTTGCTGCTGACATTTCTTTCAATTGGATAGAGTACATTACAAGACCTGGAATCATCGGTCATGCTTCATCATCAAAGTTGGAATTATTATTCGTCTTCCTTATTACTTCCTCTTTGCCATTCTCTTCTCTTGTCTTTCCTTTATTACCTGACTTTTTGTTCTGCCCAGTGTTCCCATTGAGTCCCTTATTAATGATCTTGTCAGCAGGTGCCTTCTTGATCTCATTGTTCGAGGTCAGGATCTTTGCTGGGTACCCTTAGCAATTTTCTCCCTACTGCCTCTAACAATGTTTGCCTCCTTTTCAGATGCAGGCATATCATCATAATCTTCCTTATACTTATGGTACCCTTTATTTCTTTTTTTGGTTACCCCTTTTGGGTTGCTTGCAGCAGAGATGGTAACTTGATAATATTTTTCCTTCACTTTATACATTTGTTTTCTTAATTCTTGCATACGATCTAACCCCTTGGTCTTTTGTGGTTTTCTTTCGGCCTCAGCTTCAGCCTTCATTGCTGCTCTGATTACTTATACTGAATCAGTCACATTTGCAATGGTGGATAAAGGCAATATGTCCTTCTGTAATTCCATCGCCAGCAACCATTCTGCCAGTTTTTTGTAGTAGTTTCCCTTGGGATATACCTTCTCAAGTAGTCTTGCAAACCTACTGGTGTATTCTACCACCTTTTCATTTTCTTTCTATTCTATATTTTTTAATTCTTTTTGCTACTGGCATCGTTGCTTAAGTATCTGTACGAATGTTGATGCAAAACTCTTTTCGCGATCATATTCGTCATCCCAACAGGCAAAACGGCTCCAGTTCTCCTTGTACCATTTTAATACATCCTCTTTTAAGTACTTACCTATCTTCCTTAGTTTTTCATCATCTGTTCAGTTGTTTCATTTGGCAGCTTTGTTGTAGAGCCTTATCCACGATTGTGAGTCTCCTTTTACTCTGCCTCTGAACTTTCAGATTCTTGTTCTCTGGGTCTTCTTCTTCTCCTTCTTCGACCTTGCTATTTGTCCTTGGCTGGCGAGTGTCTTTACCAGTTTTCTCCGAAGTTTTTGTTGTGAAAGGGTATAGGAAGCTCTTTCATCATCTGTGTCACATATGATTTCAATCATGATGCCAATGTTACATGTATTGCAAATAGACCTTGATGTCTTGTTTCAGCGAATGTTTGAACAATAGTAAATTAAATCTTTCTATTTTTGGATTCGTACAAAAATATCAAGTAATGAGTGTTGTGTATAATAATGCTACTATGTATGAAAAATGCATATATGCTTGTCTGTTCTGTCATTAATCATTATTGCTTATATCCAATAAAGTAAAAATATATATATATCAGGGATATAATATATAATCAAGATTGTGGATGTCACATATTAAAGTGTCGTGTATGAAAAGTCACTATAAAAGAAATTGGGGTAACGAGTGTTGTTAGTAGTGTTCTATCTCACAGTCACCACCAAAAATGTTATTATGAAATCACAGTGAGTCAGTCACTTTGATCTGTCTCATGCTATGTAACAATCAGAGCAGTTTCTGCTCAAAAGAAACATATAAATTTGACCAGAGTTCGTAATGCTAACACAGATCAATTTGTCGATCTTGCGTCCCCAATGGTTACTTCATACTGTGAAAGGCGGAATGGCGAGTCTGTCGCTAAATGATGATGGAATTTGCGTAACCGCCGGTCCACTCTTAATAAAGTTTATCGAAGAGGCGAGGCGTTAGATTTGGCCCAGGTGAGTATTTTAATTATTGTTTTATATGGTGATTCTCCCTTTT